CCGTACCCTGGGCATGTGCCCTGACCAGGAATCAAACCAGCACTTCTTGGTGCACAGGACAACACCAAACAGCTGAGCCACACCGGCCAGGGCAGAATTCCCTTCCTTTTTTAAGGCTGAATAATATTCCATTGTAGGGATACACTACATCCTGGCCGATAGACACTTGGATTGCCTCCACATATTAGCTATTGTAAAACTAACCAATTTCTTGACTAAACCAGGTGGCCTCAGCCCTGCAAGTGGACCTCACCAGAAGATGGACTGTCCCCGATGATGATCCCAGGTGCAATCATCTCCGGTCTACACCCCATTGTACTCCATCAAATGTCACCTCCACCTGGACTTGCTCTTCATCTTCCACTTGCCCTCCTCATCCTCCTCGTGGGCCCCAACCTAACCTGTCTTTTGAGTTTGGCTCTCTGCCTCCCAGACCTCTGCTCTCCTAACCTCACCTGTATACCACTGCCCTCACAGGAGGCATTGCCAAGAGTCTGGGTAAGGTTCACCAAAGTGTACCAACTGTTGGACAAGCCTCAAGCTCCCACTCGCTTACCTGTCCATATTATAGCCTCTCTTAAGGAAACGTTCGTGACCGCACAACTCTCCACAGACTGGCCAAATCTCCAAATCATCTTCCCAGTGGATATAAACTCTTAATTGATTCAAGCTCAAAACAAACAGCTCTGGCTGGTGTGCTCAGTGGTTATAACATCAGCCCACACACCTAAGGGTCAGGGGTTTGCTCCCCAGGGTAGGGCACATAAAGGAGGCAACCAACTGACCAATCGATGTGTCTCTCACATTGATGTTTTTTTCTCTCTCCTTTCTTTCTCTTCCACTCTCTCTCTCAAAAAAAAAAAAAAAATCAATGAGGCTTCCAAGAGGCTCCCTACCTGGAGGGAATAAATGGGGACCCACCAGCAAGATTCAATCCATGCCAAGTCGGGGCCCCAGAACCATGGGGGAAACTCAACAGACACTTAGGAAGATGAGATGATGAGATGATTTTATTCAGGCTTTGACAACAGGAAGTTCACTAAGGAGGAATGTCTGCAAGGAAAGGAAGGGCTTGGGTTTCTCTAGAGGCAGGTAAGCAAGGGAGTCATAAGGAAGAGAGAGGGCAAAGGGGTCCTTTAGGACCTGCCATTGCTCAGAGCACAGAAGAATGTGGGGAGCTCTCAACCATGGTTTTTTTTCCTGAGCAAGGGGCTCAAGCAGATCTCAATATCGTCAGCTTCTGAGTGCTCAGTGGGTTGTGTGTGTGTGTGTGTTTCCACTGTATGTGTCTGTCTTGATGCTCTCTGTGTCTGGAGGTGTGCCTGCGCACGAGCAGGCTGTGTGAAGAACTCGTATCTGTGTTTCTAGTGGAGTGTGTGTACGTGTGTGTTTCAGGGTGAGGGCCTGTCTCAGCATTTAATCGCGTCTGGTGAACTATGTGTGGCTGCAGCAGGCTGGCTGTCTGTTCCTGTGTTTCTGTTTGTTGTTGGATGTGTGTGTTTCTTGACCTGTTGTCTCTGTTTCTCTGTGTCAGGTGATGTGCGTGTTTATAAAGTATGTGTCTCAATATTTTTATGGATCTAGTGAAATCAGTTTCTGTTGCACCCAGCTTCTGTCTGTCTCATGGATTGTGTTGTGTGTGTGTGTCTCAGTGTGTCCATCCAGGTGTCTCTGGTGGAGGGTGTATGTGCTTCTGTGGGTGTGTGTATGCTGCAGGGTTGTGTTTGTGTAGTGGTTTCCCTGTGGCCCGTGGTGCGAGCATCAGTCCCTGTGTTCCTGTATCTGCAGTCCGTAGTGTGCATTGCGGAGTGAGTCTTTTCTTCTGTTCTGTGCATCATGTGGGCTCTGTGTGTCTTGTGGGGTGAGAATGCCTCCTTGTGTTCTTGTGGGCTGGCTGTGCCTGTATTTCCTTTGCCGTGCATTTCTCTCCCGGTATTTAGTTCAGGGAGACGAATTGTATGTGTGTTTGGTGTGTGTGTTTGGAGTTGCAGGATGTGTTTCTGTCTGTGTTTCTGTGTGTGGTGAATTGTGTTTTCGTTGGAGAGGGAGTGCTTCTTTGAGTCTGGGTAGTATGTGTGCGTATATGTTGCAGTGAGTGTGCCAGTCTCGGTATTTTTGTGGGTCCAGTGGCATATTTTGTGTTGCGAGTGAGTGTCTCTCTCAGCGTTTCTGTGAGTCTGGTGTTTGGTGTGTGTGTGTGTGTGTGTGTGTGCGCACTGTGTTCCTGTTTGGAACCTGGCCGGGCTCAGGCCTTCTCCAGTCCCACATTCCTCCTGCTCCTTTGTGCTCTGTGCTACAAAAAATATTTGCGTTTTCCACGACTCATAATTTTTCCTCCTCAATCGCTACCAGATGTGGGTCCTGTGGTCCCGGTCCCCATGGCAACGGAGGTTCCAGCAGCAGTGGTTCCCTTTTGTGGCGCCTGCCCTGGGAGCTGGCACTGCTGCAAGCCCGAGGGGGTGGGGAGGGAGTGCATGTTGGACATGGGGGTTTTGAGCAGCTCCCTCCCCAGATGGCCACCAGGATCATCCTGGTGGGCTAGGGGCTTCTCAGCCCAGGTCCTGCCTGGCCTCCTGCCCATAGCATCTGATCCATAGGGAGGAAAGTGGCAGGGGCTGGCAGCTGAAAGTTAAAGAAATGCCCCTCCTCTTCTGGGAGGCACCCACACGGAGTGGCTCCTGAAGGTTGGGATCTGGGACACCTAGAAGTCTCCCAGGGCAGGGGAGGAGAGACCCCAGGAAAGGTCTGGTTGATGTGACCACTACTGGTCCAGGCTGGAGGGAGAGGGAGAGATAGAGCTAATTAGGGGGAGGGGTCAGGAGCCACAGTGTGATGAGTGGTGGTCCTGGAGGGGAGAGGGGTATTGCAAGAATGTGGCTTGAGCCACTGCATTGCCCACCCCCACCCCATGAATCACTGCCCTGCCCTCACTGGGCCCAGATGGGCATCTGCCCCTCCTGGCAGACTTTGAGCCTGTGTTCTCAACACCAGCAGCCAGCATGGCCTGGTGCCTGAATGGATCAGAGACCAACCAGCCACAGGGCCACAGCTGGAGGATACCCAACTAGCCCAAGGGAAGCAGCATGTCCTGGAGATATGGAGCCCGTGTGCCGCCTAGTCAGACCAGAGGCAGGGACTGTGTTCATGCAAGCCCTGCCAGATGTTCCGTCTGTGGCATGAGGTTATCTCCACTCAGGTGGCTGAGTCCCTGTATGGGTCACTGAAGTTGACCTCAATGTGGTATCCAGCCAGAGGGACAGAGAGTTGCCAGGTGAGATCCTCGAAGTACCAGCATTGGTCAGACACATATGGCGCTGTGGTCCACAGGGTGGGGGTGGGAGATGATTGAAGAATCCTGGCAGAATCTGTTGACCAAAATTGCTAGTATCAAAAGATGGGGAAGAGGCCCAATAGGCAGAGTTAGGGAGATAGGAGGACACCAGATAGATGGAGGACAGTGGGCACCACAAAAAAGTAAGGCTTTATAGCTCAGGAAGGTCACTTGGGAGGCCTTCCCAAGGTCCAGAGCAGTGAAGACACTGGGAGACAAATAGTAAAATAGAAGGCCAGGCCAGAGCGGGGGGCTGCCTTCAAGGCCAGCCAGGGCTCTGGGCCAGGCCCACTTCCCTCCATCTACCCCCACCACCCGCAGACCTGTGGGGTGGGTGGGTGAGAGTTTCCGGCTGAGTACAAGGAGCCCATTGAGGCAGACAGTGGGGCTCTGTGCAGTGCCAGGCCGTCGTGTTTGTGCCAGATGAGGCCAGGCTGAAGGCTGTGCCCATGGCCCACTGCCCCCTGGCCCCAGTCTCTGACCTGACCTAGCCACACCAAACAGCTCAGAGCCTCCAAGTGTAACAACAGTGGCCAGCGGGGAAAGCACAGGTCAGATGCAGCCCCACGCACCCAATCCTTATAGTCAAGGGTCTCCACCCGATTTGTTCTGACCCAATCTTCATTCTGAGCGGCCAGTCCAGGATGGGGTGGGCCAAGGTGGTTTCAAAATTAACTGGATAAACGAATGATGGACAGATGGACACAACCATCTTCCAATGTGGTCGCAGGAGACCCACACATGGACTCCCAGGCTCTGGTTAGTTTGAAGGATACTGGGGTGTGAATGCTGGATGGAAGAGGTCACATACAATTTTTTGGGGGGAGGGCATCCTTGTCCTAGGCTCCACAGATAGGAAGCAGTCATAGCACAGAGGGAAAAAAGGCACTTTATTAAGAAAGCTTTGGCCAAGCACCTGCCCGGAGGAACCCATCCTGGGGCACCCGGATGAGGTGGGAGCAGCCCTGCTGGGGGCCTATAAATATGTCTCCTCAGGCTACTGGAGTGCCCCTGGGATTCCCACCAGTGTGTGGTGTGGTGGGAGGCCATCAAAACCAGCTGACAGCTGAGGGGCCAGGGCTGGGAAGGTTGGGGCAGGGGAGCAGGGAAGGGGAAGGTGGGAAGGATTGAGCCCAGGGTGCTGAGACTCCTGAGGAGCAGAGACCAGCCCTCCTCCCCAGACTCGGGTCAACCAGATACCCTGAAGCCTGGCCCGGGGAAATAGCCCGGGGCTGCGGTGAAGGAAAGGGGCTCCAGCCAGAGGCTCCAGGCCCTGGCAATGAGAGGCAGACGAGGCAGAAGTGCTTCTGGCCTCAGCCAATAAGAAGGCAGGCCCAGCCAAGTGCACGCTTGGCCAGGAAGAGGTGGTCTCTAGGCAGAACCCGTCGGTCCTGACCTTTGAGACCCGGGCTGGCCTGAGCCCTACACAACTCGGCCGAGGCAAAGGGAGTCGCCAGCTAAGCGCCAGTCAGGCCTTGACCAATGGGAGCCGCCGCCAAGGCCTGAGCCAAAAAGACGCAGGCTCCCTCCAGACCCATCCGGCTGCGGCCCCTGCGAGGCCGCCGCGCCCGGGCCGCCCCGAGGGAACGCCGGGGCGGGTGCGGGACGCGGGGTGCATGCAGCACTGCGAAGCCCGGTGAAGCTGCGGTTGCTGCCAGGCCGCCGCTTGCTACGGGGTGTGTGCGCCCGCCCTGCCCAGCTCGCCCGTCGCTTCCCGGCTCTTCTTGCGCGGTGGCTTCTGGATGGGGATCTTCTTCCGGGGGGTGTCGGGCACCAGTGCGCCCGCCGCCACCTTCTCGGGACCTGGGGCTTCGGGCGCCGGGGGCGTGCGGGCCGGCGAGGCGGGCAGCACAGAACGCTTGGCCTTCTGCGGTGGCGCCGGCTTCTCCCGGGGGCTCTGTGTACTCGGGGTCCCCTCGGCGCGGCCCAGGCTGCGAGTCTTGTCGCGCAGCTCCGCGGCCAGCATGGAAGCGGCCTCGGGCGCGCTGCGCGGGGGACCGCTAGCGTCCGTGGGCTCCGAGAGGCCAGGGCCGCGGCCCCGCGCCCGAGCCCGGGGCGGTGACGGCGCGGCGAGAGCTGGCTCCTCCTCAGCCAGCCCTGGGGGCCGTGGCGTCGGGTCCTGGGTCCGGGGACTGCCGGGCTCCTCTGGCCGCGCCGATGTGTCGCTGGGCGTCCGTTTCCTCTTGCTGGGGCTGGGCGCCACCTCTAGGCCCAGGGTTGGTGGTGAAGGCGCACGGGCAGCGCCAGTGGCACCGTGCTTGCCGTGGATCCAAGACACCTTGGGTTTGGTGGCAGGGTCGGGTGGCGGCGGTTTCCTGCGCTCTGGCGATGGTGAAAGTGACAGGCCTCCAGCCTCTCCCGGGGCCCGGGCCGGCCGGACCTCGCGGCGGGCCACGCGTGCATACAGCGCACCACCAGGCCCCTCCACGCTGGATGCTGACCGCTCGCTGTCAGAGGACGCAGGGAGAGGCGTCGTGTCCGACGACAACGCTGGCGTGGTCACTGTTGCGGGGGACGACACCTGAGCCTCGGCAGGGGCGGTGGGGACTTCCCGGTCTCGGCTCTCGGTTGTTGCCTCTGACAAAGGAAGAGCCAGGCAGTCACCGCAAACAAAAAGTGCCCGAGCCCTCCAGACTCCAGGCGCAAACCTTCTTCCCTCTTCCTCCCTTCCTCCTTCCACCCTCGCTGGTGCTCAGTCGCCCTGGCATCCAAACCCTGTCGCATTCATAGCACTAACCACAAGTTTACTTAGTCCCAGAGTGCTGGGGGTTGAAAGGCACGTTCCCAGCTAAAGCCCCAAACAACCTCAGCCTGGCCTTGAACCCCTTCCCTACCACATCCCCAGCCTGGAGGCCACGATCATCAAATGTAACCCTTCAATACCTGCAAAGGGATTCATTATCCTTCTTTAAGAGACAAGGCTTCTAAGGTTCAGGTTAGTCACCTGCCCAAGGTCACCCAGGCCAATGGTCAGGGGAGGAAAGAGGCCAGAATCTCAGCCAGTCAGGCTCCTTCCTACTGCTTGTGGGCAAAGGTGTGTGCCCATAACCTATAGGCCTCCCCTCCTGTCAACTCTGCCACTTTCTATTCCAGCTCAGAACTTTCTCTGCCTGGTCTCTCCCCCAGAAATGAGCCCTGGGCTGTGGTTAGAGAAAGGAGAGCCCACCTATCTCCCCAGACCTCTGGGTAGCTGTGAGTCCAACGCCCAGTTAACAGCATTATTACCACACCCTTCCTCTCCATGCTGCCTCTACCCCAGAGCACAGAGATCTTTGAAGCTGGAACATTTCACTGGGCTGGAGGGAGGCTTAAGCAGAGTGGTACTCACCCTCGTGGGGTACGCAGTACACAGGACCTTCATCAGTGGTGTCAAAGGAAGAGAAGGAGGCTCGGGAGGACCATGATGGCGAGGGCTGCTCCAGCCCTGATGGTGGCTCCAGGAAGCTGCAGTTGAGCGTGTTATCCAGGTCGTGGTGGGCCACTGGGGAAGGAGGGAGGCACAGCTGCCGGGGCCCTGCCCTGCCCTAGCCTGCACCCTCTATAGCCCTCCTGCCACAAATGATAGAGCACCAGCCCTACCCTAAGACTATGGGTAGGACAGGCAATTCAACAAGCAGAGTGACACTAGGCCAAGATTGAAGAATAGGTTGCGGTGAACCAGGAAAAGTGAACATATTCAAAGGGGCAAAGCTAGTTTGTGTAGCCAAGGAGCTGAAAAATTATGGGCTGAAGTGTTAGGAAAAGAGATAAGGCACGAGAGAACACTTGGCTGGAACAGGCCACTAGTCTCCAAGCCAGGCTTCAGACCCTGTCTCATGGGACACAGGGAGCTTTGGAACATTTTTGAGCCCAAATGTGCAAGGCTGCCTTTGGCTCAGCTTATCTCAGCCAGCTGCAGCCCCAGCCTGGCCTCCACAGATGCAGAGCCCACAATGAAGGAATACCACAGGCTGGCTGGCCAGTACCCCATTTCACAGATGGGATGTGGGGTCCACCCCTACACCTGTGTTCAAAGATCCCACTCTGTTGGGTGGGCCAAGGGGTTTCTCAGTTGTCTCCATCTTTACCTCCCAGAAGACTGAGTCTCCCTCTCCCCCTCATTTTTGAAAACAAGTGGGGCCCTGGCCAGTTTGGCTCAGCGGTTAGAGCATCCGCCTGAGGACCAGAGAGTCCTGGGTTCGGTTCCCGCTAAGGGCACCTCCCTTGGTTGCAGTTTGTCCCTGGCCCCATTTGGGGTTGTGGGGGTGGCAACCCCATCGTGTCTCTCACACAGATGTTTCTCTCTCTCTTCCTCCCCGCTCCCTCCCGCTCTATCTGAAGATAAATGTCCTCAGGTGAGGATAAAAAAAGAAAAAGAAAAAGAAGAAACAAGTGGGAAAGAGAGTCCACCCCTGGTATATGTCAGTGAAGTTGGAGAGAAGCAGAACCTTCACCTCTTTCCCCACCCAGGGTTCTTTGGTAGAGTGGGGGCTCCAGGAAGGACCCAGGGTACTGCAGGGGTTACAGGCGGGACCCCCTTCTGTCAACTGGTGCCAACAATTCCCTTGCACAGGTGCTCTATAGTTCACCTACAGTTCCAGGTGAACACACCAGCCCTTAACCTATACTCCTACAGACTGGGGGGGGGGGGAGGTGTCCAACCCAGATGTCCACATGCCCTCACTGTACCCCAGATGCAATCACTCACACAGAATCAGGTCCCAAGGCCTCCCACACACGCCCCACACCTGCCTGCACATCTAGGCCTCCTACCTTCCTCCCAGGGCTCGCGCGTGTCAGCATCCCCTCTTTCCTTCTCTCTGGTCCACCTCCCCATGCCCACCCACATCAACCTTCAAGGCCCAGCATTTCCCTACATGGATACCTTCACACCCATTTCCCAGCAGCCTCTTGCGTGAGAAGATGTTCCCCAGAGACCCTGTGCCAGCATCTTTACCTACGACCTTGGGTAGCTTCTGCCTGCGGAGCGGGATCCGGGGTAGCTTCATGCTGATGCGACTGAAGCGCCCGCACAGTCGTTGCGGCGCCTTCTTCCTCCCAAGTGAGAGCTCCCTGCGGGGGCGGGGGCCTGAGTGAAGGGGCGGAGCTGGGGGCGGGGCCTGGAGAGGGAGGTTCAATCTCGGTGGGAGCCGAAACAGAAAGGGAGGGGCCATGCTCCAGGGGCGGGGCCAGAGCCCTGCCAGAGGGTGGGGTTGGTGGGGAGAGGTCCCGCAGCGCCACTGACAGGGTGAGTCCTGCGCTCAGGACAGAGCCAGACCCCTCCGGGCCTCACCTGCGCACGGGGTCCTTGCCGCGGCAGGCGCAGCAACAGCCGAGCAGCGAGAGCAGCAGACCCAGAAGCAGGGCGAGCAGTGCGCCCGCGCCCATCACGCCCTTGCGCTGGTTGGTCTCTGTGGGGTATTGGGGTCAGCGAGGGTACCAGTACCCTCCCGCATACCTCACAACCCGGCGCCCCGCTCACCAACTCACCCAGGCGGCAGGCACCAGTTACCGGGTCGCACGAGTCCTCATGGCAACTGCAGGCCTGGGCGCAGTCCACGCCATGGAGCCCCGGCGGGCAAGTCAGGTTACAGCTGCGGAGGCGCAGGTTCAGGGAGAGCCACAGCGACCCCGGTGATTCCTCCCGCCCTTGCCCCCGAGGCCAGCCAACTCCGGTCCCGGTGCTCCATTCTGTAGAAATTGATGCCTACCTCCACCTCCGGGCATACACTCCGCGATCAGTGTTTTAGAAATGAATGTGGGGGTGGGGTGGGGGCGCGTGCACACCAGTGAGAAGGGACCTGGGGAGTGGCCACCGGGCCACAGTGCCTATCCCTAAGGCTGACTCTTGTGTGGGTGGGAGAGGGAATGCCAGATCAGACCTTGGCTGTAAGTGGAGGTCCCTGCCCGCTCTACACCAGCTCAGGGTCACCTCAGCCCTGCCGTCCTTAGAAGCCCCCTGACCACAGGCTGAACTGGTCGCCGGGTCCAGCTCAAAACGCGGAAGCCTATTGCCCAGAGCCTGTTGTCACTCCTTAGCTAAAGCAAGGGGGCCAAAGCTAAAGGATCAAGCCTTGGTCCCACCAACATAGAAGCATCTGGGATCTGGCTGGAGCCCTGAGTCGGGTTCGTACCCCTCAACCCCCTTTAGGTCCCCGGGCACTCACTGGGGCCCGTGGACGCCAGGGCTACACAGGCATCGCCCGGACTGGAAGTCGCAGTGGCCGTTGCCGCAGTCGGCGCACACGAATGCACAGTCTTCACCGTAAGTGCCATTGCTGCACTTGGTCTCGCACCTCGAAACGCGGAGAGGAACGTCAGAGAAAATGGAGGCAAAGGAACCCAAGCCCATAGTGCCCTCCACAGAGGCCATCAGGGCAGGTGGGGCTGGGGTCCTGCGGGACTGGGACCGATTTCGGCACAGGCTGCTCACCGGTCGCCGATCCAGCCCGCGTTGCAGCGCGTGCACTTGCCAGTGACGTGGTTGCAGGCGTGCCCATCGCGGCACGGCGGGCAGCGGTGGCTGCAACCCTCGCCGTAGAAGCCGGTGGCGCAAGGCTGGTCGCACTTGGTGCCGTTCCAGCCGGGCTCGCAGGTCAGACAGCGGCCCTCCGCCACCGTGCACGGCTGCTGGCCCTTGCACTGACCGCATCTGGGAAAGGGGCGGGAGGCTAAGCGGGGCCCGGAGCCACCTAACCCCCGCCCCCTTAGGCAGCCTGCCCTTCCTCCTTCCCCCTCCCAGGCGCGGGGCCCGCGTTTACCGGCGGCGACAGCCAAGGCCGTAGAAGCCGGCAGGGCACGGCTCCCGGCAGTACTTGCCGCGGTAGCCCGGCTCACAGGCGCACGTGCCGTCCACAGGGTGGCAGCGGCCGCGGAAGCACTGACAGTAGCGTTCGCAGCGCGCGCCGAACGTTCGCTCGCGGCACTGGCAGCGACCGCTCTGTTGCTCGCACGGCGACGTGTTGCAGGCACACTGATTGTTGCAGCTGCGGCCCCACCAGCCTGCGTGGCACAGGCACGCGCCCGTCTGTGAGTCGCAGCGCGATGTGGCGCTGCAGTAGCACGCGCTGGAGCATTGAGTGCCCCACCAGCCAGGCTCGCAGCGACACGCGCCACTCCGCGGGTGGCACGCGCCGTGCTGGCACTGGCACGCATGCTCGCAGCGTGCTCCCCAGCGCCGCGCGTGACACGTACACTGGCCGGTCACGTCCTCGCACTGCCCATGCGGGTGGCAGATACACAGCTCCTTGCAGTCGGGTCCCCAGAACTGGCGCGGGCACTCTACAGGGACGAGTGGAGACAGTGGAAGGCCCCGGCACTCGCGAGCGAGCCTGGACCCATCCTGAACCTGTCCGCGTCGCCCCGGACCACCTACCTCCCCACCCCAACCCCATCGCAAGCTGGATCAGGTTCCTGGATCAGACCCCACCCCATTCACAGGTCCCGCCCATATCTCTAATATCCAACCCTACTGCCCAGCGCCCGCACAGATCAGCGCTCACTGGTGTCGCAGTTGGCACCGAAGTAGCCATGGCGGCAGCGGCACTCGCCCGGCCGCACGCACACCTCGTTCTCCGAGCACGTGGAGTTGCCTTCGCACACCGCTGTGGATGAGAGGGGCCCTGAGCTGCCACATCCAGCCCCCACATTATCCCCGCCTCTCTGTACCCCCACCCACTGCCCAGGTCCCCAGGATGTCCCACTCACCGATCCCACACTCGTCCCCCTGCTGCCTCCAGCCGGCGCAGCACGTGGGCTCCTGGGAGCTGCAAACAGAGAGAGGAGCCTGAGCCCCAATCCCCGTCCTTGCTGGGGCTTCCCTGCAGCCTCTACTCTGTCATGGGGGGGTGGTTATAGAGGCCCTGCTGTGTACCCAGGCCAGGTAATGTTGTAGACTTTAGTTTTGGGAGAGTCCCAGCAAATAAGAATGACATAAATTCCAGCCCTCCAGCATCTGACTCTGGAAGGTGGCAAAGGGCAGACCACCAATAGACCTAACTTCTAAGAACTTCCCAGTCCTCTCAACAAGGAGTCTCCTCATTCTCCCCATCTCACCTAACTCTCTGTACCTCTCCCCATCCAGTAGGCCTGAGAAAAAGAGACCCCACATGTTCCAGGAGGGGCAGCAGTAAGGTAGGGGCTGGGGAGAGGTCCCTGGGACTCTGGGACCCGCTCAAGTGTGGCATCCTGGATAACCAGTTGAGGTTAAGTGCCAAGGCAGATGTGTAGCCCCGGGACGAGGTGGATGTGGACACAGCGTCCACTCAGTGGAGGAACCGTCTATAGCAGCGGTTCTCAATCTGTGGGTCACGACCCCTTTGGGGGTCAAACGACGCTTTCACAGGGGTTGCCTAAGACATGACAGGAGCAAAATTACAGTTATGAAGTAGCAGTGAAAATAATTTTATGGTTGGGGGTCACCACAACATGAGGAATTGTATTAAAGGGTCACGGCATTAGGAAAGTTGGGCACACCTGGGGAATCCTCCACAAGAGTAAAGGAGGTAAAACTGTGAGGTCTCCAGTGCACCAGGGCAAGACTTGAGGTGGAGGAAGGAGATATTAAGGCATCTACTTATATGTTTTTAAAATCTTGTTTAATTTTATTTGGCTTTACAAGGTACATGATATCACCTCAGTAGGAGGCAAATAATTTATAACTGTCACATTTTGGGGCAGTACAGCATCCAAAACCCTGGGCTGATGGGGTGTGTGGGCACGAATGTTTGGAAGCCCTGCCTCAGTGAAGCCATAACCACCAGAGAGGGTGCACGAGGACTGAAAAAGGTGTACCCACATTTGACAGGCAAAGGAGGCTGAGAAGGAACAGATGCTCAGGCACAAGTTTGTAGGGCCCCATCAAACCCAGAACTTCATCCAAATCCTAAAGGCACAAAGAAGGATCTGAACCTGGATGTGATGATGGGAAGAGGTTGGGAGGGAGCCTAAGCACCCTGGGGAAGTGGGCCAGGCTGGGAAGTGAAAGGCTGAGCTGCCCCACATCGTGCCCCCCCCCCCCCAGCCATTTCCTAGCTCGAGGATATCAGCACACCCTCGACAGGGCCTCAGGGCCTCACCCTGGTGAAAGAACCTGATTCTCTCTCAGATGTGGGACCTGGGGAACAGGACCCATAAAAATCCGGTGTGGCTCAGAGGATTGAGCATTGTCCCACAGACTGAGAGGTCCGGGTTTGATTCCGGGGTTGCAGCCTTGATCCCCAGTGGGGGGGTGTGCAGAAGGCAGTCAATGGTTTCTCTCTCACATAGACGTTTCTCTCTCTAAAAAAAATCAATAAAACACATTTTTAAAAATCTCGAAGTGGAGGAAAGCGGCCCGGCTTATTTCCACAAATAGAAGTGGAAACCTGACACAGGGAACACAAAGGACTGGCTTCTCCTGCTTCACATGACCTGGGCTCCCCTGGGCCTGCCCCAGGGCTCTGGGTGCCCATCTAAAGGTAGAACCAGGTTTGTGGGTCCATTACCCTCCACCTTTTCTGCTAGTTCTGAACCCAGGTCTCTGGGAGGAGAGCCTCTGCACATGTCCTCCTGTAGGCAGCTTTGCCAGGTGGCCTGCTGGGATGGTCTTGGAAGCACTGGTCACCTTCTACCTGGTCATGTGATTCTATGGTTAGGAACCTGGTTGTAAAGCCCCAGTAAGCTGGATTTGATGCCTGCATCTGCTACTTACTGTGTGATCTTGGGTACAGAACTTAACCTCTCTGAGCTTTAGGCTTCTTATCTGTAGAAATGGAGTCCATGAATTTGGCAGGAGGATTATGCCAAGATGTCTCAAGCATTTGGGACAAACTAAGAGCTCAGCTAAAACTGTAGTTCAATCTCCAGCCCATGCTGAACAGGCTCCAGGTTTCCATACCTGATGGCTCTACTCTGCCCCCTTGGACACCCGTCCTCTGGTTTCTGCTCCCCCTCCCTTCCCCAGCCTCTCTCCTCTCTGGAAGCTCACCAGGTCCCATCAAGATGCTGACAATGCCCTGGCCGGTTTGGCTCAGCGGTTAGAGCATCGGCCTGCGGTCCGGAGAGACCCGGGTTCGGTTCCCGCTAAGGGCATGTACTACGGTTGCAGTTTGTCCCCGGCCCTGGTTGGTTGTGCGGTGGCAGCCACTCGATGTGTCCCTTCACGTCGATGTTTCTCTCTCTCTGTCTCTTCCTCTCTCTCCCTCCCACTCTAGCTGTACAAAAAATGGAAAAATGTCCTCGGGTGAGGATAAAAAAAAAAAAAAAAAAAGATGCTGACAATGGCCTGGCTGGTGTGGCTCAGTGGTTGAGCGTTGACCCATGCACCAAGAGGTTGCCAGTTCGATTCCCGGTCAGGGCACATGCCCAGGTTGTGGGCTAAATCCCCAGTGGGGGCCATGCAAGAGGCAGCCAATTGATGTTCTCTCTCATCTATGTTTCTATTTTTCTCTCCCTCTCCCTTCCTCTCTCTAAAATAAATAAATTTTTAAAAAAGATGCTGACAATGCCTCAGAGCCCTCCAGGGGGCCCTTCTCCCAACACTGAACTACTAATCTACCCCCATCTCAGGGAAGCCCTGTTCTTCCAGGCTGAGAGGCTGAATCCCCAGAGGTGCCCAGGACTCTGTGCTCTCACAGCACACACTACATCCAAGGGCTCTACCACTCCAATGGATCTAGGATGGGTCAGGCCACTTCTCCCCTGCTCTGCCCCAGCCTTGTGAGAGTCACCCTGGCTCTCCTTGGTTTCTCCTGACTGCCTAATTGGCCCCACTTCCACCCTCCTGCCTCCAGTTCCTCTGTCACCTGACAGCCAACCCTTGTCAGATCCCACCCCTTCTCTGTGCAAAGCCCCTGGGGGTTCCCATGCCCCTCAGACAAAAAGCCTAAGTCCTCAGGGTAGTGGGCAGAACCTCTGTGGTTGGCCACCCTCACTCTGTCCTCCCCTCCACCATCCAGGCTCTGCCCAGCCCCCATGGTCCTTCCAGTAGGCCCTCTGCACTCAGGGCCTAACCCCAGGCACCTCTTCTTTGGGCCTCTGCCCACTTATCACCTCTCAGTGGGTCTACCAGATCACCTTAAAGGAAACAGCACTCCCCAGCTGAACACGGCCTCCCCAGCTCTTTCTAGACATCAGATGACTTGCTGTAAGTATCCTCCTCCACCACCCAGACAGGGGTGTTTGTCTCTCAGGTTGTACCTCTGCACCAACCACAGGCCTGGCACATAGGAGATGGCATTGGATTTTACTGACTGTTTACTCCCCTCCCTGGTCCTCCCACCTCTGGGGAAAGGGAACTGCTGGTGGGAGCCTTCGGAAGATAACAAAAGACCCCGGGTGGGCAGTGCCCAAAGTGGCTGTCCTTCCCATTAACCAGTTCCACACATGATCCTAGTCATCTCCCCTCCAATCCATGAGGTAGGGGCCATCACCAATCCCATTTGACAGAGGCGAAGACAGGGCCAGAGAGGTGAAATTATTTGCCCTGGGCCACACAGGTGGAGAGAGGTAGCAACAGGATCTGAAACCCAAACCCGGGCTCTTGGCTACTAGAAAAGGCTGCCTCGTGGGGAGGTCTCTGGGCGACGGGGAGTGGGAGAGAAAGGCTCAGGCTTCGACAGCTCCAGTCGATGCCACCGGATCCCCCAGCACCGACCCCAAGGGGAAGAACGGCTGAGGAAGATAGGCAGGGCCCGCGGCGATCGCGCCCTCCCCCTCTCCATGCAAGGCCTCGCCCGCCACCGCCGCTGCATTCCTGGGGCCGGGGAGGCCCGGGAGGCTGTGTCGGCGTCGATGCGAAGCAGATGGCGGGCCAGGCAGGCCCCCGCCCCGGAGGCGGGGCTCGCAGCGGGGAGGGGTCTGCGCGCCTCGAGATCCAAGCTCGGAAACCCCGCGCGGCCCCCTCACAGCCCCTTGTCTGGGGCGATGGCCGAGCCCCCCGGACGCGGCCTCCCAGGGCTCTGTGGCCCAGGGCGCCTCGACAGGACCCAACCCGGAGCCCCGAGGCAGCCTCTCCAGCTTCCAGCCCGTGCGGCACCTCCCCACACGCTCCAAGTCACCCCCGCACGCCGGCTCCTTGCCCTAACTCGGAGATGTCCGTGACCTCGCCGTGGCCTCTGACTGGCCGACCGGATCCTCCAACTCCTGTGCCCAATACTAGCATCCTGGCCTCTGATCTTCGCCCTCCGCGCAAGGTCCTGGGCCCACCGCCCTTCTGCAGGGCCTGTCCCGTGCCTGTCCCACACTGGCGTCCCCAGCCGGCTCCTCGTGGCGTCCCAGTATCCCCACCCGGGAGTTCCACATCCTCCCGACCCCAAAGCACCTCATTGTCCTTTCAATTCCCGCTTCTGATTCAGTCTGAGCGCAGGCTCTTCGGTGCCCGCCTCTATCACCACCCTTCTCCCACCCGCACCCGCTCTTTCTAAGAAACAGATCTGTCCTTCCGAGTCTCGACTGCCTCAGGACCTTCCCGGCTCCTACCTCTCTACAGCGCAGCTCCATCTCCCCTCGACCTCAGTTTCCCTTTTAACTGGAGTCATACTCGTGCCGCGGGCCTTTGCACATACCATTCCATCTGCTTGGAATGCCTTTCCCCTACTCTCTCTATGGCCTTCAGAACCCGGCCCAAGTGTCCTTTTTCTAGGTCTGAAACCTCGGACACCGTGTGTCACCCTTCCCGGCGCCCAATGCACTCCATTCTCCCCTCTGCTGACTTCTTGTCCGGGGTATCCTCGGATGCTCCGTCGTGGCCCGGAGCCCAGTCTCGGCCTGGAGCGTAGCCGGCGTCGGCGAGGGTGGCTGAAGGGGCCGGCGCTTTTGGCGCAGGGAGGTCCCGGATGCCCAACCCCTCCCCAGGCCGGGCATCCCCTCTCCCCCGGCCCGGAGCGTACTCCTAGGCCCCCCTCCCCCAGCCAGGCCGGGCTCCTACCCGGGCGCACGGCACACGTTGCGGCCGCGCGGGTTCAGCTCCTGGGGCGCCGCGGGGCCAGGCAGCAGCCAGAGCAGCAGCAACAGCAGCGGCGGCAGCAGCGGCGGCAGCGGCCCCCCGGCTCCCCGGCGCCGCGCCGGCCCAGCCCCTCGGGGCCCTGCGCCCTCCATGCGGCGCGGGGCAGGCGCGGGGCGGGCGCGGGCGCGGGTGCGGCCGCTGCGAGAGCGGCCGGAAGCGGAGTGCGCGGCCGGGCGGGGGGCGGCAGGAGGGGCGCCGGGCCGGGCAGGAAATTCCACATCGGCTCCCTGATCCGGGGCCAGCCGCGGCCGGCCAGGCGGCAGCGCCCGCCCCGCGCGCCAGACCCCACCCTCCGGCCGCGCCACCGCCCCTCCGCGCGGCCCCCGCCCCCACGCGGCCGCTCTCAAACTTGGGGCGAACTTGGAGGGGGCCCGCCGAGCACGGGGGGAAGGCGGGGCTGCAGGGGCCCGCCCAAGGAATCCCTGGTCCCCCTTATTTCCCTTCCCTCCCTAGACCTTCTGGAGAAGCCGGCCCTGCGGGCTCACTGTACGACCAGGCCCAGGGCGGGAAGGGGGCTGGGGGACAAGGGCGGAACGCACCAAAGCCTCCCTCACCCCCCAGCCCCTCGGAACCGGGCAGGCAGGGAAAGGTGTCCCGCAGGCAACCCACGTCGAGGCCTCAAGCCCGCCTGTGCTACACTGTCCTCCCCACCCATTCCACTACACTCCCCTAAGCCCTGTGGTGCCCTTCATCGGACTCAATGCAAAACCTGCAGGGGACAGCGCAGGATGCTTGAGGCCTGTGGATAGACTCGGTCTGGACCAGAGGGAGAACTCGGTAGGGATGGACTGGAGAGATGACAGGGAGGTAGAATGGCCCAGCCAAGGGCCCCCGTAGAATGTGGGGGTAAAGGCAGAGGAGGCAGGTGGGAGAGCTCCAGGAATCCTTGCCAGGGGTTGAAAAGGGTCTGGGTAGCCTGGGAAAGTGATTCTGCTTGAGAAGGCTGCTGGATCACCGGAGGGAGAAGTCCAGAGGTGGAGTCAGGGCCAGAAACTTGAGAAATCCTGCATCAGCAGGGCAGTGGGTGACAGCTTGAGCAGAGCAGTGGCAGCAGTAAGGAGGAAGGGGAACAAGATTGAGAGGGACAGAGCCTAGGAGGACCAGGTGGAAGAGGAACTCTGGGTCTGGATGTAGAAGGGTGTCTGGTGCTTTGGTGGATGGCAGATCCAACCCCAGGGCCCATAGGGCAGGGTAGGTGGGGAGGCCTGGGGATGGAACAAGGGGAACAGCCTGGTCCCAGTAAAGATGAGCATGTGTTTTGAGGGCTTAAGAGTTGGCAGGAGGTCCTGTGCAGGGAGAGGGTACCTGCCTTCTCTTGGGAAGCAGGCTGTATGCAGACACCCTGAGGAGGGAGGAGTGGTGTCTTTCCTTAGCTATGTGGAGGCCGGTCAGGGTAGAAGGTGGGACTGGAGGAAGAGGCTTGGAGCAAGGGCCACCGAAAGGCCCAAGCTTGCAGACATCACCAGGCTGGCTGAGCCAGGGGCCTGTCCAGGGAAGGCTGGCAGAAGGTGGAAAGGGGAGCAGGGTAAGGGGCTTCTAAGGTTTAGAGCCTCTCACTCAGTCGTGCTGGTAATAGGTGGGTGGACTGGAAGAGGAAGTCATACCCCTGTGATCACAAATGCAAACACTTCTTGGGGACAAGTAAATAGACCAAACCAGTTCTGGGCAGTTCCTCCTGGGCATAGCCCTTACCTCAGCTGTGCCCTCCCAGTGCCAGGGCCCCTTCCACAGAGGTCCCCATTGACTGCCACCAACAGAGGCCAGCAGAGGTCCATGTGCCTGCAGTGACTGCCCAGCAGCCTGTGGCAGCCCTGTTCCTGGCTTTAGAGGCACATACTCCCCAGGACTGGAAGCACTCACCTCAAATGGACTGAATTCATGAACAGGCACCTCAAACTCTATCACCTTCTTTTCCCTTCCCCACAACTGCTCTTCACTCCCAAATTCCCACCTGTGAACAACACTGGACAATACCTTCACTGCTGAATGTCTCAGATCTCTACCAACCCCCATCTATGTACCAACCAGAGTAGTCTTTCTAATCTCATAGCTGGCTGTCCCCCACTGCCTGCAGGACAAGGAGCATCCCAGCCTTGGAACAAGGGCCACCGAAAGGCCCAAGCTTGCAGACATCACCAGGCTGGCTGAGCCTCCTGCATGTGTTCCATTGCGGTCATCTCACAGTTGATGGCAAGATCTGTTGTCGAAGACAGGGCCCATATCTGTCCCAGACCCCACCACACGGCTATCTGGAGACTAAGAAGTTCAGGTGGAGTGAATGCTTGTCCATATGCCCGGCCTGGTGCTAGGTGAATACCAGGATGAGGAAGCTGTGGGTTCCCTGGCATCCACAGACCACCACACAGGCAAACTGTGGGAGCCTAGAGCCCAAGCTGACCAGTTCCTGCCAGGGTGGCTTCCTGGAGGAGGTCAACTTTGAAGGGTGAGGATTTTGCAGGCAGAAAGAGATGAGCAACAAGCCGAATGAAGGCCTGAGTGCAGGGCCTGGGAGCCTGGGATGCTGAGGCCAGCGGGTAGGAGGTGATGGGAAGTGCAGCCACAAATGCCGGGCTGGGCCCCAAGGTTGCAGTGGCAGGGCCAGGTTGCTGCCCAGCTTTCAGGATCCCTTCCACAGCTCACATTTACCCCAGCCCATGCTCAGAGCATCAAAGACCCTTCCCTCCTCCTCTGCAGACCAGAGGTCTTTTGTAAAGCTATGGCCAGGCCTTGGTGGCTCTGGGTGGGGAGACAGCACCAACAAGCTTGGGACATATTGAAGATAAGGGGCAGGAAAAGCATTTCTAGTGCTTTCCTTCCCAGAAACCTCTGAGGTCTGCAGGAACTGTAGCCTGGCCTGCAAGGTGGTGGCAGACAGGAAGTGATGGGTCCCTACTCTGCACCCATGTTCTCACACCTCACCCTCAGGGACAGGGAGAAGAAACCGGAGAATGTGTCCACCCTGTCCCATTGGAAGTGACCTACCAGGGTCAACACTGGGTTTGCCATTCTGAAGTGCGAGTGTATGATGTCATGTTGGAGTCAGGGAGTGGGGCATGTTTCCTCTGGAGTACCAGGCCCCAAGAGACAGCAGTTCCTTCCGGTCACATGCATGGCCCTGAGGAGCAGGAGCAACTCTCACTGGCCTCACTCCCACACCCCAAAGTCCTTAAGGTATCAGAAAGTAGAACCCAAAGCCATGGATTTCCTGTCCCTCTCCCCACTCCTTCATCCATCAAGTAGCTCACATTGCTCTCTGCTCCCCTCCCATCCATGATACGGTGCCAGCTGCAGCAGGCTCTGGGCAAGGCACCAAGCAACAGAAAGAAGACTTGGTTGTCTCCATGATCTGCCCAGCTGACTGAGAGCCTGAGGAAGTCACAGGTCATCTGCAGGGCGGTGCTGGCAGGGAGGCCTGTGGAAGGAGTTTGCTGGAGTAGAACCTGTGGCAGGCAGGAGAGGAGCATGTTCAGGTGGAAGCTCTGAGGTGCAGAGGCAAAGTTGGTGGCCCAAAGAGGTCCTAACTGCTGCACCAGGGAACCGATGTGCTAAGAACTCAACTCACCTGGTGAACTTGTAGAAGTGCAACTTCCCACTCCGCCACACACTCGGATCCAGGAAGTGGGGAGCAGCCCATCCTGACAGGGTCTCCCTCCGCAGGCACTGGAGCCCCCTTCCCAAACCTCAGGATGAGCTGTGCTTGGGCTGAAGTATTGCCAGCTGTTCAGAGAACAGCTTCCCCCCAGAGAAGGTACTCCAGCAGGCCAGGTGACGACCTGTCACCAGACTGCGGCAGGTCTCTAGGTGATATCCTTCTAGCTAGGGGGTGTACTGTGCTCTTGCCTCTGAGCCGGGCTTTTGGCCTGTCACTGACACCCAGAAACTCTGGCCTTAGCTCCCACACCAGAGCTGTACGCTCAGCCACTCTTCCCCAAGAAGGGAACCCGTGCTTCCTGGTGCTGCAGCCTTGGACAGGCTGTGAAAGGAATTGAGGCCATGGCCATAGGAACAATTCATACCTTTTGTAAGATGATTTATTTCATTTATCAACAACATGGGGTCAGAAAAACCCAGCTGTAGGGGATCTTCTTAATCCCAAAACCAGTCTCAAACAACCTTATGCATCTCTTCTCCCCCTCCAGCCCCTGGGAGCTTTCAACTGTTCAAGCCACTGGCTGCTGGGTAGGCGAGGGGCCCACCCCACCCCTGCCCACAGAAGTGGGTTCAATATGTTTCAGCCCCCTCACCCAGGTGCCAGTACCCAGCTCCCTTTGGAGAAAGATACCTTTTCAGCCCAGCAGGGATCAGAACCAGGGAGGTTGCTGATGGCGCACTTTGTGTGGGCAGGTCTAGTAAACCCCTCCAGCGGACCAGAACCTTCCTGAGCACTTCCCCTTGCATGGTGATCCACAGCTGAGATCTACAGAGCCCCACGAATGCCTGCTGCAAGCTGGCAGATAGGCTGGTTGAAGGAAGAGTGGCAGGTGCCAGCCACTGGGGAGTGCCAGAAATAAGGGTCTCAACACCCTGGGGTAAAGTGCTCTGGCCTGGGCTGCCCTCGGAGCTCCCACCCCCCTTCCCTTCCTGCTGACACCAGCCCCAAAGCCCTAGTCCTCACTGGAGTTGTAGAACTCCTCCTCCCAGTCAGACACACTCATCACCTCAGAGGCGAAGTATGGGTCTGCCTGGTAGTCAGGGGTCCCTTGGGATGGCTTGAGGAGCAGGGAACGTGGCAGGGTGAGCACACAGGCCGACAGGCCCGAGGTGGAGTTGTCCAGTTGGGGCCCCTCCTCCCAGCAGTCCTTCTCCATGTCATAGATGTGCACGTAGCCCATGCGGCTGCCACGGTTGTGTGAGCGGCCACCCAGCACATAGATTCTGTTGTCCAGCACAGCAATGCCAGGCTCACCATGCCCCGCTGGGAGTGGGCAGACAGACGACCACTGCCCAGATGTGCAGCTGTAGCAGGCCACCTGCAAAGTCAAGGCTGGAGTAAAGCCGGGCACCTGCTGGGATGGGGCTGCCAGCCTGGCCTAGGCCAGCTGGGCAGGGCAGCAATCTTGGCCAGGCCCTGGATTCACACCAATGCTGAGGG